TGTGTGTGTGTGTGTGTGTGTGTGTGAGTGTGTGTGTGTGTGTGAATATAAAGATGTTTAAAACTCTTCCCACATTACTGCAATATTGTCAATAATTTTTCTAAACTCTAAATTCTCTAAAAGAGCACAGAATGTCATTATTTCAGCTCCCTGCCTCCTCTGCTTTTTGCCTCCTGCAAGCACTCTTGGCCACGCCCACTTCTCCGCTCTGCACCGAGAACAGCTGATCAGCTGCAGCAGGAAGTTTATCCTGCAGTATGGGCTGCACAAAGGTGCAGCAGGTGCAAAATAATTGAAAATAATTTATTTACAGTAAAAATTCCATGCCTATCGTGCGGCTCATCTATCAATCAGCCAGTTGTTTGTCATGTCCAATCTTATTTTGAAAAACCCCAATAGCATGAGTCCACTATAAACTATAAACGAACTGCAAAATAGCGAGGGACTACTATATATATATGTATAAAATTCTATAATTATATAAACTCAAATTTACTTTCAATTACTGCTTTTGAGAATTGATGGGCAGATGTTAAAATTGTATTGTATCAGTTTTTAATGTCAATCTTGCTGCAGCTTCTTTTGTCATTTTATTTTTTTCATTTATTGTTATTTTTACAGAGTATTTTCTCCTAACTTAACGGAGTTTCAGCAACAAATCAAAAACACTGTTCTGCAAAGGTTTTCATGGATCTATGTATAACGTAGGCCTAGATGTTTTAAAACAAAGATTTTGTGGAAAAAAATAGGACAAATCAGTCTAAAAAAATCCCAAGAGTACGGGTAGTTGTTAAATTAATTTATTAGGACAAACTCCCAGAGAGCTGTAGCAGGAATAAAATAAATGATAATAAAAAATAAGTTGAATCCTGGTCCGGGGTCTTTCTGGGTGGAGTTTGCATGTTCTCTCCATGCATGCATGGGTTTTCTCCGGGTACTCCGGTTTCCTCCCACAGACCAAAAACATGCATGTTAGGCTGATTAGTAACTCTAAATTGTTCCTAGGTGTGAGTGAGAAAGTGAATGGTTGTTTGTCTTGTTTGTCTCTACGTGTCCCTGTGATGGACTGGAGACCTGTCCTGTGTGTACCCCGCTCCTCACCCAGTGATTGCTGGACATGGGCACCAGTGACCCCCGTGACCCAAAATGGAAGTATTGGGTAAAGATAATGGATGGATGGATGGACAAACTGGTGTAGTTTTACCTGTAGTTCCCGCATTTCCCCACTAGAGGCGCACTACAGACACTGGCGTGTATTAGAGGCAAAGTAACAGTGGAGAAGAAGGAATTTATTTTTCTTTGCTTTTATTTTTACTTTGCCCTATGAACTTGTCTGTAAAAACATGTGTATCAAACAAAATAAAAGTGTACAGTGAGTGAGTGTTTAATATGGAGTGAACAACAACACATTGTTTCACTGAGGTCCAATCAAAGGCAGTTTTTATGCCAAGAACCTGTTGTGGTTTTCAAAGAGTACACTTTGCTAACTGCTAACTATGCTAGCAAGCCTTTCTCCAAAGGCGATTTAAAAAAAAAAGAAACATAGTAAAAATAGAGCAGGTCTATTGTGTCTCCAAGGCAAGTTATAAAAAAATCTGTTTTTCACACAGGACTGTGACTCGCCTTGTGGAACTGATTGATGAAGATTTATCCAGCAAAATAAGCTAAAAGGCAGAGAGAGTCCTTTAAGTTATGATTTGTTAGTAATGGATGAAAGTAATGTCGTAAAGGACACTGCTCAGCTCCTATTTTTTTTATGTGCGGGATTAACAACAGTTTTGAGATGATGGAGGTGGTTTTGACCCTGGAGTCTCTGAAAGGAAAAACACAGAGAGGATTTTTATAACCGTCTGCTGTCGTGAGAGAATGAAGCTCCTGTGAAGTGAACTGGACAATGTCACAACGGACAGATCAACAAATTTAAGTTGGAAACATGTCCGGCTGCTGAAAAGAATCTAGGATAAAGTGAAAGAGGAAAACTCTGACCAGGATGTTATTTTTATCCATCAGGAATCACTGTAAGTCATGCTTTGTGTGTGAATGTGTGAAACTGTTAATTGTGTGTGAATTATAAAAAAAAAAAAAGTGAAAGACAAAAACATGTGAATTATTGTCCAGGTACTCTGTTGTGATGTTGTATAGAGGAGCTGCAGGAGGATGATGTCTGCTTCCATTCCCACCCTGTTGCAGCTGACCTGTCATCAACTTTAGATCCTGTAGTTGTAAAAAGTTTTGTGAGGAGTTTGTAGAGATGAGCTGCCACTTTATTTAGACTTTTCTCCTGTATTCCATTAGCATAGTGAGGTAAGAGACTTGTGGTTTGGTTCATTTTATTTTTCTTCAGGTAAGAGAAAACACAGCTGTTTGTTTTGTTTGTTGTTTGGGCCTGAAGTTGGTAAGACTCCACAAAGTCAATAATTTCACTAGTGTAAATAAAATCACTGTTCTATCATATAATCTGACTTAGTGGCTGCTTGAGTGGTGCAGAAGGTGGAATCGCCCATAATTAATAGCGTCCCGGTGGCTGTTATTGTGCTGGGGTGTAACATCTCACAAACACTCCATCTGTTCCTGGCCCGTCACTCCAGTTTTAGAACTCAGTGTGACCTGCGAGTCTGAAAGTTTGCCCACCCCTGGACTAACCTGTTTAAATAAAAGTTGAATGAATGTTGAATCTTCTAAAATGTTCAAAATTTACATCTATAAAACATAAAACTATAAAGCTTATATAATTTTATCAGAAAAAAAAAAAATTAAATTACTTCACCTTTATAAAAAAAAAGAAAAAAAAAAACAGCAGTTATCCATAAAAGATAATATTGGGGTGATTTTATTTTTAAATATGGGTCTGGTTGTGTTGAGTCAAACCTTGGAAACCCGAGCATTGTATCAATGCAAACTAGAGGATAATGAGCTACCATGAAAAGTTTCAGCTATGACAGTATCCTCCTCTTTCAGAGATCAGTACCTCCGATTTGATCTTGTTGTCTCCGAAGCAGAGATGTTGGAGGTAGGCAGCAGCGTTCGACTGGACTGACGGGAACTGATGCTGCAGCATCTGGATCACCTCTGGCAGCTCGGGATCCCTCCAGCCAAACTCCCTGCAGATGCACACACGCATACACAGAGGAAGATCTATGTTTAGATGGAAGCAGAGAGGCAGAGGAGTGTGTTCTGGTGAAAGGCCGAAGCATTTATGCTCCTTTATTGTGACGCTGATTTAAAATGCTTGTATGAAGAAAAACAGAAAAAAAAGAGGCAGAAATGGAGGCTGGCGATGAACCATAATGGATAAAAAAGAAAGCACACAGTGTGACTTTATTCAGCTCTGCTAATTTGCATGGTAATAGTTTTGGTGGACTTTTAAGTAACAAGAACTGCCAAAGATTTGTCAAATTAGGTTTTCTGCATAAACATGAGACATTTATATAACCCTCATCACAAAACATGCAGCATACATGACATGATAAAGTTAGGTAAAATTATTTACATGGAACATCAGGTATAAATTAACCTATTATTTATTCAGACACCTATTGATTCTGATGATGGCAAATAATGACTGAGATACAGTTGGTCAGTAATGCAGCAATATTATTTCCAAAACCTTTTTTTTGGTCCGTCTAAAAAGGTCTCACTTGTAAATGAGTCTTTGAGGCTCAATGTGATTTATCTGTCTAAATAAAGGATGAATGAATGAATTAATTAATTTAAAAATAGCAACAGCATTGGTTGAATGGTGTCATTAAAAACTCCTGCTATCCTCGACCTCACAAATCCAGCATTGTGCATAAAATTGCACAGATCTCTCTGGTGCTATATCTGTTGTTACGTGGTATCACAGCAGATGTAGCACCACCAGTAATCTGGCATTCAACTGCACATTTTACAGCTTAATAAAATAACACAAATGACATAAACCTAAAAAAAAAGAACACTCAGTTATGTATTTGTTACCTGCACATCCTTTCACATTAGCCATAATTAGCCAATGAAAGCATTTCGCCTCATTGTTAAACATAAGACAAAGACTGACAGCTGGGGGGTTTATTTTAAAAATATAGTTTCACATGGTTTGGACAGTCCTGCAGTCTGGATCTTTCTATCTGGAAGTACTGTAGTAACAATGAGACTCGTGGTACTTAGTTATCTCTAGCGCAGTAATCAGAGACAGTTACTACAACATTGCACAAAGACCTTGGCTTCAAAAAGAAGCATCACAACACTGGTAGACTTTCTGATTGTGGGAAGGTTTCTTTTATCCAAGACCACTGTGGCCTTGACTAACCAAACTATTGAAAATCAGGACCCTTTAGTTTCAGCTGAAATGTTCAGCCTCTACATCATCCTGTCTGTCATTATGAAATTAATTGAATAAAATTGCAAATGACATAAATCATACAGGAAAGCTTTACAGGTTACAGTGGTCAAGGAGGAGTACATCCAGGACAAGTCATCATATAGAGTCATACAGTGTCACATGAGATGGACAGATTTACACACAAACACTCACACACATTTTAGGAATCACCATTTCAACAGACATGCATTGTTAAATCACTTTGGTGGTGTAATCGGAGTAGAAAATATTTGCTGACCATTTCAACTAATTTCAAATATGAAGGTTCAATATCTCTTAAGATGCTCCTAAAATGTCTTTACTTACACATGACAGTCAGGTCTACCTTGATGGTGCACCTCTTTATTTGACAATATCAGTAAACTATCCTGATGCATGCTCAATAATCCAGGTAGAAAAATCTAAAAAATTTAAGTCAGGTCCTCTGGATGGATTCTTCTTGTTGAAATGTTTAATCTTTTATCCAAAAGATATCTGCAAGCCAGTCTTTCAGGGACGAATAGGTTCATATCCTTGATAGAGAGGAATGGTAGTTTGAACCATGAGTGAAGGAAGCCACCTTGGTGAAGAGAACCTGTCCATCATTAAACAGGGGTGGAGGCCTCTGTGTTCAACTGTCCCCCTCCTACAATGCTGTTATTGATAGTATCACTCAGCCAAAATACTTATTCAGTCTGAGGAGCTTAAACAAACTCAGTCTTATAAATAGCACCTTCTCACAGTAGATCAACCAGTTGGCTCGTGACAGTCAAAAAATATCTGTTAACATGGTAAAGGAGGGCCATCAGCCTAACAATTGGTTGTTAGTGCACTGATGGCTGCTTGCTATAGCAATAGCTATGAACAGCTATTAATAAGTAATTGGTATTGAATTATAATAGTAATATAACAATATAATAATGTAATAACCATTTAATTATAATTGGATAATTAGCTATAATTAGCTATTAGCGAGCAATAGCTAATTGCTATTGAATAGAAAGCAGCCATCAGTGCACTAACGGCCAATTGTTAGACTGATGGCTCTCCTATACATGCTAACAGACATTTGTTGGCTGTCTACTGGGATGCATCACAAACAATGATGAGTCCAGCTACAGGCAGGAGGTGGAACACCTAGAGAGCAGGTGCAAAGAGAATAACCTTCACATCAATGTGAAGAAGACAAAGGAGATGATTGTGGACTTCAGAAGCAACAAACACACCTACACCCCCTGAACATAAGAGGATCTGCTGTGGAAGTGGTCTCCAGCTACAAGTACTTGGGTGTACACCTGAATGACAACCTCAGCTGGAGCAACAACACCACCAGCCTGATCAAGAAAGCTCATCAGAGACTCTACTTCCTCAGGCGGCTGAGACGAGCTGGTCTGGGAAGCTCAGTCCTCACCTCCTTCTACAGGTGTGCAGTGGAGAGCATCCTGTGCTCCAACATCAATGTGTGGCATGGAGGCTGCACAGCTGCAGAAAGAAAAGCTTTGCAGAGAGTGGTGAAGGCTGCACAGAAATCTGTCGGAGTCAGCCTCCCCACCATCACAGACATCTACACCTCCAGATGCAGGAAGAGGGCCACCTGCATCATGAAGGACCCCACTCACCCAGCACATACACTTTTTGCCCCGCTCCCCTCAGGAAGAAGGTTGAGAAGCATTAAGTGTAGAACCACTAGACTGAGGAACAGCTTCTACCCTGAGGCTGTTAGACTCATGAATCTCTAACCAGAATAATCACTGTGAAAAACCATATCATGTTGTTGCTGATCTGTTTCAATGTTGCTGCTGATCTGTTTCAATGTTGAAGTGTTCATGCATGCTCAGTCTTACACAGACTCATGTTCATGTTTGTGCTGATGTTCGATGTAATGTTTTTATGCTATTAGTGCTTAATGTATTTTTAGTTGATGTTTTTCTTAGTTCATATCTTAGATGTTATCAATGTTTTTCTTTTACATTTTATTGTTGGATGTAACTGGGACCCTGTGTACATAATTTCGCTCCACCACATGTACCACACGAGGTGCGAATGACAATGAATCTCTGACTCTCCGACTCTCTACTGTGAGAAGGTGCTATTTATAAGGCTGAGTTTATTGCAGCTCCTCAGACTGAAGAAGTCTTTTGGACAAAAGACAAAACATTTCAACAAAGAAGAATCCGTCCAGAGGACCCGACTTTATTTATTTAGGTCATAAACTATAATGTAATATTTTGTTTTATGAGTGTTAACATGTTCTTCTGTGGATAGCATTATTGCACAAGTTTTATTGAGGGGATCCTATTGAGGACTCCTGAGTTCCATATATAAGAGCTTTAAACACAGTGGCACTCCGACAGTGACTGCATTAGCAGGTTTCAGATTTAATGGCAACAGTTCTGGGATGTAAAATGATCAAACGAGTTCCACAGAGAAACTTGTTACCTCAGTTTAGCCTTAAACACTCTGTAAAGCCATTTTTAGCGGTCTAATGAGCACACTTCTGTAGACAACAGTCAATATTTTCTGTCTCACAGTGTAACTAATGAAGATGTGAGTACTGGACACTGGGGCCAAAACATAAATACACTGAATCTTCTTGACAGAGCAACAGTTTCCTGATTGTTCCTGATTTATTTACTTGCATATATTATATTTTGATGGATTTTGTGCATTACAAACCTTGCTGCTACAATGACAGATGAATATTTGAACTATATGAAAGCTATTTAAAATATCAAATTTGTAAATGTGTGTACTAAAGCAAGCAATAATTAAAGATGCACTAGTTTGATCAGTTTTTTACTTTGGTCAGGCGCATACTGAAGGATACTTAGATCTATGGGAGATTCTCTAGGTGCTCTGATAAATCCTGTCTTTTAAATGCCCCAGCTGCTCTGGCTTTAGAGCGTTACCAGGGGTCCACCAATGCCTTTGCTTTAGGGCATACTTCAGGCACATAGACACACAGACATAATCTGTCTTACCCTACACCTTTGTGTGTGAGAAAGAAAGAAGAAACCAACTACTGTGAGAAAAAGTGTGATCTAAGAGAATTAAGTCAGAGTGAGGGATCCGGGTATTGATGGGGCGGGAGGATATCGATATAAATCATCTGTCAGACCAACTGCAGCTGGCACCAAATCTTCCCAAAGTTTTATTCCCACAGTCACTTTTTTCTTAACTGCTGGTACTTCCTGGTTACTAATTGTGCTCCAAATTCGTTTTACTATTCTTGGCTGCTTCTGACTCTTCCTCCATAATAGTCTTTCTTCTCTCTGTATATTTGTCTCCCACTTTGATTAGAAATTTTCTGACGTTGGAGAGGTGGTTGGGCTTCAAACAGAAAGCCCGTTTGCTCTGTTTGGTGGAACTTGTTTCTCTTTGATGTATCTCAGTCTTGATGCTGCAGCAGCCCGACATGCCCATGGAAACGATTTCTGTTCAGGCTCATCTAAAAGGAGCACATGGACAAACACATGTGCGCCCACAGCACTGTAGGTCAGCGTGCGCACACTCCTATTGTAGCCTGACAGTGGCATGAGCATGCTCATCGACATGCACACACAGTGAGCCTTCAAAGGCTGAACAGAGGAGCCAGGATTAGAACGCTTTTGTCTCTAACTTTTATAATGGGCTGAAGGGATAAACCCAGTGTTTGAAAAACTGAAACGGTTGATTTCAAAGATTATTTTCCCTCTTTTCATTTCAAACAATTCTCTATTTTTGAGTCTGAATGTCTCTCATTCCATCTTTGGCCTGCTTTGA